GAGGGAGGGAGGGAAAAATGAAAGTCAAGCAGAGTGGGGCACATCTACAACCCCCAGTTTGGGCCAGCCTGGATCAGGTTATCTTGAACTACATAGTGCAGCCCTGTCTTAAGAAGCAGTAAATTAGTTACCCTTGTTCCTTAAAAATAAGATTTAGCTGGGAAATAATCAGCCTTGACAATAGAGATAAAAAGGCCAGCTCCTGTCAGAGGTCCTGCCTCACCAGCCGCCTCTGTTCTCCCACTTGGTGGCTGCCCCGGAAGGCAAGTGAGATAGGGAGACACTCATCAGGGCTGGCATTTTTGAGCTCTAGTTTCCAAGGTTATTCTTCCACGTAGGTCTGATTTTTGGGGGGTCCACATCTTTAATTCCAACATTATGGGAGGCTGAGGTAGGATAATTCCAAGTTTAAACCTAACATGGGAAACACAGCAAGGCCCTGTCTAAAAACAAAAAGCAACACAGAGCCAGTGATACGCTCAGTGGCACGGCGCCTGCCTGGCAAGCGCAATGTTTGTGACAGCCCTGGGTTCAATTCCCAGCACCACCACCCAAAACACAAGTGCTGAGCATCAAATAATCCAGAGTAGTCCCTAGCAGTGACAGGGTGTGCATTTCTACACTCAGCAATTCAGCGGCACTGTCTGCGCCCGTCTATCAAAGCGGGCACCGGCAGGACTGACCACATTCTGCTCGTGGGGTGCTCTGCAACAGGTGCTGCCTGCCTCTGTGACCTGCAACTCACCGAGGAAAGTGTAGGAGATGATTCTGACACAAAACCTCGCAGCAAGAGACATTCTCAGGAAGTAAATCCTGAATAATTAACTTGCAATTACACTGTGTCCAGTTCGTAACTTCCAAGTCCGTTTTCCCTACTGAATCCAGAACTGTATAACCTCTTTCTCCAGCAGGAAGCAGAAATAAGGACTGGGGATACACCTCAGCGGCACAACGCCTGCCTAGCAAGAGCAAGGCTGCAAGTTTGATTCTGGGGACCCTACAAAAAACAGTGGTGTGAGAATGAAAGGGATCTTTGCCCTTGATGCAAAAAGGAGGGACAAGGAAAAAGAAGAGCAAAAAAGAAGAGAGGACAGGACAGAGCCAAGGGGAAGGGAAGAAACCACTGACCCCCTTTGCTCCAAACAGTGGGGCCAGCTTTCAACCTGATGACGAAGCGCAGGGCACGCTGAGCCGGCACATGGCTTAGGGTGCTAGAGCCCAACAGCTAGCAAACGAAGCAGCCCATCACCTCTGACTATAAAAGTGCTCGCGGTGGCAGCACATACGCTTTCGACTATAAAAAGTGTCCTAAAAATAGTATGGACGCACACAGTCGGCTGACAAAGGTTTCAAAATATGTCCAAATACACCTAAGCAGAAAATATTCAAAACAAAATACCCATCCTAAAACCATGCCATATTAAGTGGCTCTTTAATCTGAAGTGGTTTCAGAAATAAAATGTTAAAGAAGTCATTTTATCTCCTAACTGTAGAGGTTTAAAATCTGCTATATTAGTGAGGTAAAGAGTATTAACGCAGAGAAGCAAGCACGTGAACAACTTTAGTGCTGGGGAGATCGCCTGCAGTCTAAAGTGCCTGCCTGGAAGCACAAGGGCCCGCCGGGGTGATCCCTGCTACGGCATGTCGAGCAGGCCCGCGAGCCCTGGGCAAGCCATGCTGAACCAAAACTGGGCATGTTGCTCATGCCTGCAATCCCAGTGCTGGGGAGGCTGACAAGGGTCACTGTGAGCTCAAGTCTGAGCTGTGTATGGCAAGAGCCCGTACCAAATAAATAAAATGAAAACTACTGGGGGCAAGCCAGAAAAGGGGGTACACATCTGCAATCCCAGCATTCAGGAGGCTAAGGCAGGAGGGTCCTTGCGAGTTTGAGACCACCCTGAACTGCAGAGCAAGACCCTGCCTCATAACAACCCAAAGAAACAAACGAACAGACAAAAGCAGCGTAGGGGACAGAGACTCGCTGAGGGAGGGGCAAAGACAAGTAGCGCCGCGAGATCCCACCTGGCTGCCGTTCCTGCCACTTCTGCCCAAGAGCCAAGACTCCCGGATTCCTTAATTCACAGGAAGGGCCACGAAGCACAGCCAAGCCCCACACAGTTGGCAGTCTTTCAAAGCTGAATGTTTGTAGTTATATACAGAGTAGATGGAAATACAGTAGCTAGTATTCCTTTAAAAAGGAAACATGAAAATACAGAACAGCTGAAAGATGACTGAAGAATATTACAGCAAATAAAGAACTATCCTCCTGAAAAGCTATTTAAGCATCGCTCCTAGGCAGTGCTGGAGAAGCACACACCCCACTGCACAAACGCTCCCACAGCATACCATTTCTCTTCCCTTTTGCCTTTATCACTTCTACAAGTATTCAGTCCAGGCTGCCGTTTTGGATTTTTGAGACAGAATCCTGCTGTGCAGTCCTGGCTGGCCCTGCGCTCACAGCAGTGCTGCTGCGTCAGCCTCCGGAGGCTTAGGCCTACAGGCACACACTGCCAGTCCGGGGCAACACATACTCTACGATAAACTGCTTTCCTACCAGCTCTCTTTTAAGGATATGGTATTTTTTAAATGTACTTCGGTCACTCAAGTATAGCTAATGAGTACAAGCTATGCTACTATTACTGTAATTACCATTATTGGATGGAGAGATTGAACAAAGGGGCTTACACATGCTAACTACGCACTCTACACTGAGTTACACCCCAACTAGTTATACTATTTGTACGTTCATTTTATAATAGTTAATTACAAAATACAAAAAGAAGAGTCCTCAAGTTCAACCAACAGCAGACTTGATGAGACGTTTCTGCCAGGGGCATGGGAAGCATGGCGTAAAACTAAGGGCTGGAGCACGACCAGCACTAACAGGATGCTCGGGCTGACGGGGGCACACAGCAGAGGACAGCCACAGGACACTTAGGACAAGCGGCTGTCTCTGTAAAGGGCCTCCTGGAAACACAGGAAACTCCAGGCTTGAAGGCACAGGCAAAGGACCCAAGCCGGGACCGCGGGACAGCCCTGCCACTCTAGCATGAGGGTACACTGAGGCAGGAAGACTTCACCATATCACAGGCAGCTTAGCAAGATCCTGTCTCAAAATTAAAAGAGTACAGGCTGAGGGTATAGCTCAGCGTTAAGGTGCAGTGGGGGGAGCAGGGAGCGAAAGCAAGCAATCGCCTTCCCTCTCCCTTCATCCACCAAGGACTTTCAGAGGCAGTTCCCCTATAAAAGCCAGAAAGTTTTCAGAAAACTGATCTGAAGAGTCCAAAGGCCCCTCAGACCTATGAAATGCTGGTGGCAGTCATAAATTCCTAGAAAACAGGTGTACTGCTGCACGCCTGCAATCCCAACACTTAGGAGGCTGATGCAGGAAGATCGCTGTGAGTTTGAGCCTAGCCTGGGCTACAAAGTGAGCTCAAGGCCAGCCTGAACTGCATAGCCAGACCCTGTCTCAAAAAGACAAACTGATTAATTAATTCCTGAACCTCAAAGACAGCTCAAAAAATAAATCAAATAATGACAGCTTAGTCAAATCCAGTAAGCCATGCCATACTACCTGCAGTAGAATTCTGAGTTTACATAACCATAATAAAATTATAAAAGCATGTTTGCATTACAAATTTATTATGAATTTCTACTACTGTATGACACTGTCAGGAAATAAATGACTGACCACTTCCACTCGTAAGCACCGTCCAAACACCGTCAGGGCCTAAGTGCAGGAGCGCCTGCAGCCCTTCTGTTGCTGCTTTCAGTTCGTACCATTTCACTTTCCACCACTTCTCTGACCTGATACTCTTCTACATCGTACAGTACGGAGCACGACTGCTGAGCTAAGGGACAGCATCAGCCTGTCCTCATCAGAGCTGGGGCCACATGTAGCAAGCAGAGAGGGAATGTCAATATGTTTAGGGTTAGTTTATAAAAGAAAATAATACAAGCACAGAAAATGGCATTCTTCAGGACGACAGTACATACTTGCATAACGAATGACTCCAACAATGAGAGGAAACAGCTATCAAAAAGTAAAAATTACCCAGGCATGGTGGTGCGTGCTTGCAATCCTAGCACTGGGGAGGCTGAGGTAGGAGGATCACCCTGAGTTTGAGACCAGCCTAGGCTACAAAAAGAGTTCAAGGCTAGTCTGAATTGGAAATAAATCAATTAAACATATTTACGTAATTAAACATATTTAAGTGCATTTTAGGCAAAATATGCTAAGACCAAGAAAATTAAGACCTGGAACATGGGCTGGGGAGATAGCTCAGTGAAGTAAGTGCTTGCCTGTCACACAAGGTCCTGAGTGGGATCCCTGGTACCACAAAAAAGAAAAAAAAGATCTGGTACATAAATGGACAGAGCCACTGTTAACAGAGGGAGATGTCTGAAATCATTAACTTAAAAGGGCAGACAGTTATACTATATTCTACATTCAAAATACAGCACAGCCCTTACAAAAATTAGGTCTTGAATGTTCAGGATACGTGTGAAAGAAGCCAATAATCAATAGTCACTTATAAATATGATCATTATCAGGCCTTGAGCAAAACCAAACCCTGAGTCTGGACTACTCCTACTCTGTGCTCTACACTCAGTCAGTCACGGAAACATTCGCCCGCTGGGTCGGGTGCCCCGGAGCACGCTGGCTCTCTTCCTGAAGTGTGCCTTCTACTTGAGAAATTAAAACACACCTGGATTACTTGGAAGAATGCCCAGTGTGTGTTACTTGTAATGACAAAAGTCAGATTTTAAGAAAAACCTTGGCCTTTCTTTTGCCAGTACGGTAGCTGTCATCTTCTTCAGAAGCCCTGAGAAGGCAGTCTTAAGAGGGCAATGAACTGCAGTAGTCCTTACACAGAAAGGATCCTATTAAATGTGCCTTTGCGTGCTCATTTCAAGCCATCCAGTACTCTTCAACCAAGATCAGTCCCAAAAAGCCCCACATAAATCAAAAAAATTAGTAGTGTGAGAGAAACACTTACTTCGGAAACCAATTCAGGCCTAGGTGCTCTGTCTTGGAATATGATATTCTTTCCACCATGTCATAAAGTGGTCTCCAAGGTAACTCTAAATCATCTCTTGAAAGAAGTTCCTTTTTCCTGATTTTAAAAAAAAGAAATACATATATATATGGGGTTGTGTGTATGAATCATAACGTAACAGAGGGCAGTTAATTACAGTGGGATGCGCTTTTCCCCACTTGCAGCCACTCTGGCAGAACATGGTAATTACCAAGAACAATGCATCAGAACAGAACACTGGATGAAAACGAGTATCTAAATTTGTGCCATCATGACTGTATAAGAGTTTCACAATTTCCCACACTATAGGGAATACTTAATATTTCTATGATTTTGCTTGATCCTTTGGAAAAGCAAAAGAATACATGATTCCTATTTTATCAAGGAAGTTACAATTTTTTTTTTTTTTTTTGGGGGGGGTACCAGGGATCGAACATAGGATCTTGCACTTGCCAGGCAGACGCTTAAGCCACTGAGTTATAACCCCTGGTCCTATAATATGTATTGGAGGACTAATCAGCATAAGTGAAAAAAATTAAACACATAGTTGAATGCCAAAAAGAGAAGGCTTCATGGAACACATAAAATTTTTAATGAAAAGGCAAATTAAATACACAAGTAAGCTTCTAATAGTGCTTTTTGTGATCTTTATCCAACTTGGTTTTCATTCTCTAAAACTGTCCAGAAACACCCTGGCAGAAATCATAAGAAGTAGACTTACTTTAACAAGTTGATCAAGAGACGGGCAAATCCCTGCATCATACTGATTTCCAGTTTCGGAATTGACACCAACTCATACAATAACTTAATAAAAAGAACATGATCTTCTTTGCTAAATTTTCTCCCATAAAGTCGAATATATCTGCAAGAAAAAAAAAAAAAGATAAACCTTTTAAAAACTGGTTTGGTGACATATTCATGTTCCTTTCTGCAGCCAAAATCCAGAAGGAACCTTATATCTACAGAGGAAAGAACGGATTAAAAAAAGAAAGTGGGAGCCAGGGAAATAGCTCAGCAGCATAAGCACGTGCCTGGCAAGAGCAAGGTCCCAAGTTTGATTCCTAGTCCAAAAAAAAGAAAGAAAGAAAGAAAGAAAAAGAAAAGTGGCATATATAATGCAACGGAGTATTCAGCAATGAAATATATGAACACCCCATCACGTGCTGTACTATGGGTAAATCTTGAAGGAAATAAGCCAACTATCTGCATACACCCACAGACTATTGCATTCCATTTATGCACTATTCAAGCTCAGTGGGCCAGCTGGGGTGGTACACACCTCTAAACACAGAACTCAGGCGGACCCGCAGGAGGATCACCATGAGTGAGGCCAACATGGCTACATAGTGAGTTCAAAGCCAATCTGAACTACACAGTGAGACCCTGTCTCAAAGAAAAAAAAAAAGAATGGTGATCCCAAGGTTGGAAAGAGGGAAAAATAGGGAGCTGTCATTTATTCTTCAACTGGTACAGATTCAATCAGGCAAAATGAAGAAGTTCTAGAGACCTCTTAGCAGCAGTTAACAAAATGTACTACACTGTGCACTCAAAGCTTGAGAGTAAACAAGTGTTTTTCTCAGCACACACACACATAAGATGTATGCACTCAGAGGCTCAGGCAGGAGGATCCTTGTGAGTTCGAGACCAGCCTGGGCTACAAAGTGAGCTCAAGGCCAAACTGCCCTGCAGAGGTGAGACCCAGTCTCAAAAAGACCAAAAAAAAAGTTGTGACATCTTACTTTCAAACATTGCTGATATTAACTATTTTGCATCTATTCTTATCACAGGGAACTATACTATACTTTGGTCAAGACATTAACAAATATTTTAATAAAAAAAATGCTGGGCCAGCCAGATAGCTCAGCAACTTAAAGTGCCTACTTAGGCAGACCCAGAGGCTGGGATTCAATCCGGGCCTGTGGTGTCAGCCCTGCCCCTGGAGCACGCTGAGACCTTGATTGGGACTGGGCATGGTGGTGTGCACCTGTAATCCCAGTGCTTGGGAAGCTGAAAACAAGAGAATCACTATGAGTCTGATCTGTGTAGTGAGACCCTGTAGACTCTTTACTAAATACAAAAACAAAAAAACCCTTTCTACCCCACGTGCTAGGGAAATGCTCAAGGGTATATCTTCCTAATTTGCTCAGGCTGGCCTCAACTTGTGATTCTTCTCCCCAGCCCCCCGAGCAGATGCAATCACAGGTGTGCACAATTCATGGCTGAAATCACAGAATATTTAAAGAGGCTCAAGTAACTAACAGGGCTGGGGATATAGCTCAGCAATATAAGTGCCTTCCTGGCAAGCACAAAGTCCCGAGTTCAATCTCTGGTACCACCAAAAAATAAATAAATTAAGTAACTAACACAAAATTTACTTAGATCAAATTACTGGATACCTAAAATAATGAACCATTTGAGAAGAATCATTTTACAGATAAATGTATAACAGAAAAGGGAGTATCACTATTCCTTTTATGATCTTTAGCATTCCAACAGTTAAAATCAAATTAAATTTATGCTGATCTTTTAAAGTGAGGATACTTGAGACCATTAAGAGCATTTAGCCTGCTTAGGCAGACACAGGGGCCAGGGGTTCAATCCCCCATGTGCCATGCCAGCCCTGCAATTCCAGCGCTTAGGAGGCTGAAAACAGGAGAATCACTAGGAGTCCACAATCGCTACAAGTCCACTCTGCATAGTGAGACCCTGTACACCCTGTCCTAAATTCATTAAAAAAAAAAAAAAAAAAAGAGCGCACTTAAAAATTTTCTAAGGTGGTTGTGAATGTAATCAACTCTCTGCTGTCACCTCAGGACATGATCTTGTGACTGCAGACCAGATCTGCAGGACTAGATGGAGACCACCGAGCCCCGAGATCTCATTCTAGCTCTTCCTGGATCACCCCAGACTGGACACACATGAACCGGTGAGGACATCCGAAGCTCCTAAACTACCGAAGATGTGGCAACTTGGGGCAGGTGCATAAGCAAGGCTGCAGCTTTCTGAAGTCTCCAGCTCAGTTCCACTCTACATTTAACAGGAAAAACTACAAACATTTAAATGTCGTTTTGAATAAAAGCAAATTATCCTTAAAAAAACTGGCATCCATTTTTAAGACAGAAGCAAAACAGAGTTAAAAATATTAATCTCTTCCAGAGGGTCTTCAGGTCTTGGCAACGCCCAGATGCCTCTGCAATTACACACAACCGTCCCCGGCCTTGGCATACTCGGGAAAACTGGAAAATATGGCACCAAGCCACGTAGCTGCAGCCCACTGCTCTTATTCAAGGAGACAGAGAACTGCTTTTCTAACCATTAGAGACAAAACTCACAACCCAGACTACAACACTACTAAGGTAACAATCTGGGGTGAACTTCCCATGAGCAACTAAAGCTGCTGAAAAAGCTAAAGATTCTGGGGGCTTCTTCCAAAACCACTGATCTCCCCTTATTTCAGGCAAGCTGTCAAGCAGTTCTCTCCTCAGCATTTCTTAGAATGCAGACCAAAAGACATTTTTCAAGAACACACGAAGTACTAGCCATAAAAAGAAAGCCAACACATGGGTTCTAATCAAAATTAGGAACTATGAAACATCTCTAAAATTGAAAAATCCAAGCTGGGCATGACGGTGCACACCTGTAATCTCAGCACTCGGGATGCAGAGATCTCCTGAGTGTGAGCTCAACCTGGGCTGCGAGACCTTGTTTCAAAAGTGCAAAAAAAAGAACGAAAGAAAAAAAGAGAAGTCCGGCCAGCTGGTAATCCTGTCACTTTAAAGGCAGAGGCAGGAGACCACCAAATGCAAGGCCAGGCCAGTCTACAGAGCACGACCTTCTCTCAAAAAGAAATGAAAAGTCCAGTCACACACCTGGAGAATTCACATTTAAATTACACAGAGGACCTCCTATGAATCAGTAAGATATAAACAACCCACCCTAAAAGTGGCAAGCCCTTCTCTAAAAGCGACAGTCCGACAACTAATAATCCATACTCAGCATCTTTGTCCTCAGGAAAAGATATTCAACATCAAGTCTAAAAGCAAACTAAGACCACAAATAACTCACAGTCACCAGAGAGGTTAAAATTTAAATCTAATAATACCCAGTTTGGGTAAGGAGCTGGAACCCCTCAATCTTTCATACGCTGCTTGTGAGAGAAGGTGGGTAGCCACTGATAATTTGGGGGGTTTTTCTGGTCTTTTTGAGACAGGGTCTCGATATACAGTTCAGGCTGGCCTTGAGCTCACTGTGAGCCCAGGCTGATCTCCAATTCACGGCAATACTCCTGTCTCAGGCTCCCGTGAGTGCTGGGATTACAGGCATACGCCACTGTACCGGACAATAATTTGGATCTTAAATGTTCCTGAAGGCAACGTGTTTTAAAGGCTTTCTCCAACTTGGTACTACTGGGAGGTGGCAAAAACTGAAGCTCAATGGGAGTCCGGGGTCACAGGGAACGCATCTCGCAGGGGTCTCAGGACCCTGCCCTCGCTTTCTTCCCTTCTTTCTTGTTCCTTGCTACCTGATGGATAGTGTGCTGTACTGGACTCTACCCTACTGTGTGGCGCCAGTCCAAGCCCAAAGCAATGGGTCTTCCCAACTGTTGGAATCTCTGAAACTGGGGGTCAGAACAAACCTCACCTGCAGTGTACAATGGGGACACACTAGCTTTTCCACATCTGTATCATGAACTTCAAACCCAAATTCATCCTCCGTGGCCATGATAATCTCCACTTGGTCCAAACTGTCTAAACCCAGGTTTTTCATAAAATGGAAATTTACTGACAGCTTTTCTGCCTCAATCTTATCATAGTTTTAAGACATACAGAAGTCGACCCTTGATTCCTTCTAGCGTTGAAGGGGGCATGTCGCTGTGCAACGAGGCTGGCTGCAGCCCTGGGGCCTCATCTGGGTCCTTGCGGGACACAAAGCAGTGCTGAGCATCCAGGCCAGGGCCAGTGGGGGACCTGGGGCGGCGGCGCAAAGGTTGAGGGCAGGCAGCGGACACAGGACAGAAGGACACAAGCCACCGTGGCTACACCAACTCCTCATGCAATGGTTACCTGACAACCACGCTACCAGACGGCGTACAATGTGGGTGCACATCAACCAGGCACAAGTACAGGAAGGTGCTGGGCTGGGAGATAGCTTGGTGGTCTAAGCGCCTGCCTGGCAAGTGAAAGGACCCAGGCTTGATCATGCCAGCCACTGAAAGTGGGCATGGTGGCCCAAGCCTGTAATACCAGTGCCGAGGAGGCTAACACAGGAGGATCACTATGAGTCTAAGCTGTGCAGTGAGACCTTGTACCAAATACATAAATATTTTTGGTGCACAGATCTATTAATAATCATGTTGAACATAAGACACCAAACCTAAGAGGGCAAATATGGTTTTTCCTTTCATTAAACTATGGTGTCAAAAGTGAACAGAAGTTACCTCTAAGCAATATATTTTACATAAAAGCATACAACCTAATCTGTGTTGTGACTCCATGTGTATACAAGGTATGATCAAAATATATGATAAATATTTAAGTTTAAAGAAATTATTACACTGGGCTGGGAAGATAGCTCAGTGGTGTAAGCGCCTGCCTGGCAAGCACAAGGTCCTAGTTCGATCCTGGTACCAAAAAACTTAAAAAGAAAAAGAAATTACTACAGTCAGGCATGGTGGCACATGCCTGTAATCCCAGAAGGCAGAGGCAGGAGAATCACCACAAGTTTAAGGCCAGCCTGAACTACATAATGAGATCCTGTCTCGAGAAGGTAAAAGAAAAAAAAGACACATCATCATTAATTCTCCTCTTAAAACACTCTCCCTCTTTTAAAGCATACATATCCCACAGTTGCGCATAGTGGCAT